ATTATTTTTTCAGTTTACTTTCTGGATACAGGATTTTAGGATACTTATTCAACATTATGGTAATCTGACACCAGAATAAAATAACTAATATTTAAATTTGGAGAGAAGAAAAGGAGATTTAGAAAAACCCTCTATTACTTAAATTCTTAGTAAGAATAAAGAAGGTAAGAAGGAGTGACTAAATTCTTAATGCTAGAAGAATTTTTGATTGTAAATTTCTATAGCAATCAACATTTTGAAATTTATGGTTTAAAGATCAACTGACAGTGAGATTACAAATACATGACCTTGCAAAGTAGGATGTGGGATTATTTAAGTAAATTATATTTCTCAGAATATTTTGCCAATGACATTGGTCTAAATTTCAGATTAATTGCAATAGTTGTTACAGAAAAAAAATTTAATCTTTAATGTCCTTTTTCTTGAGATCAGACCCCAATGTTTTCTTTAACATATATATATAAAAATTAAATATAAGCAATTATAAAAATAAAAGTAAAGATAAAGTTAATAAAGAAAATTTTATTAACTATACCAGATGAGAAAATCATTTTGGTGATGAGTATATTTAATATTGTAATGAAAACAGAGCAGAATGTAGGAATTCAAAACAAGTACTACAGCTTTGAAATGAAACTGACCTTCCTTGAATTCATAATGAATTTCAATTATGCTCAGAAGCTTAGCTTGTCAATTGCATTTTCCTTGCTTTCCAAATGCACAATTTATTTCAAATAACCAAATTAGGATATGGATGGTAGCCATTCAAACGTGCACATGATGTCTTTCTTAGCATAAATAAAAGAGGTCTAAACACACTGATTATTTAGAATTATTTTTGGATGTATCCATCCTTTCTATTTGGTAACAGAGCAAGTTACAAACAGCTGTTGGATTTTTTGTAACTGGAACGAAATATGCTGTTAAATTGTCTTCATATAGAACATTCAAATAATTTTCCCTTTGCTATTATCTTTTGTCAAGCAACTAAATTAGGACAGCAAGGATTAAAATAGAGAATACGTCATTCAAAATGGCAAAAGGAAAAGAAAAAAGAACATATAATCAGCTCACCTGGGTAAAGTCTTCATAAATTTCTCAGCACTGAAGGAGACATGGGTAAAATACAAATATGTATTTTCAAAGGCAAGAAAATGAAGTAAAGATTTGAGTACCTCAATCTAGTTCTTCTTGGGATTTATCTGGGCTGTCTAAATCCAAAATCCGATTAGCATATTTAATCTTATGCAGTGTCAGCAATGATCTACCATCCTTTAATCAGTCTATATCTTTACCATTCCTAACCGCCTATTTATTTTCAAATATACTTTTAGTGAACAATGATAAACTATCATTGCTACCTGTGCTACCATTAGATACACTGCTGCTCCAGTACTTTTGTGGCTTAGGTGCTTGAGTGGGGCACAAATGAAACTCAGCTGTGATGTTCATGTGCAGAGGGAGAGGAAGAAACTCAAACAAAAAAGGAAACAAATGTTTAGTTTGGCTTATTACATAGGGGAGGTTCATTATCAGGTAAATCATTTATCTTTGTGTGGCAGACACAGGAGTTTCAGAATCAGTCTGGTGTGTGTAGTATGGTGGAGGCTACAGACTTTGATTAAAAAGATTTAAATTTCTGCCCTATTTCCTCACCCTATGTTGACCTTGGTAACACTAGTGACATAATATAGACCCTGGTAGAGAATTTTTGACATGCTACGAATATTTCAATGAAAACATAGTTTAAAAGTATCAAAACAAGGGGGAGGGTGAGAATTGTATGGGGACTATAACCAAGATGAAAATGTACACATTGTGCAAACATGAAAAATGATGTAAAAAATATACACAGTTAAAAAAATAAATAAAAGATATTTCTATTTAAACTGTTAGTATATAATATTGGTCACAATTATTCAGGTGATCCTTAATGAATGTTATTGAAATAAATAAAAGTTTAAGTCTATGACTTTTTGTAAGACTATAAATGCTTTTTATGTTCTTTTAAAAAGAGCATAAATAAATGTCAGCTTTATTTAAATATGGTTTCTAAAGTTATTGGAAGAAAGGGAAGTGATGAGAATTGAATCTGAAGAAGCAAATTGCTATGCTAAGGAAATTGGGGAGTCTTTTTGAAGGACTTTAAGAAAAGATTAGATACACTGCTGCTCCTGAAAAAAAAAAAAATCCCCTTGACTACGTATGAAGAATGGATTGGGAGTAAAACTAGAAGTAGGGAGAGTGATCTAGGAAGCTGATGTAGAAACCAGGGGAGTAGCATGAAGCATGATGGTGGTGTTTTAACAGTATGGTAGCCATAGAAAGGGAGGTTTCAGGTTCCCTACCCTAACCAAGTGAAGATGGAGCAGAGCAGGGAGAAACTAGTAGACAGGGAAGGCTAAAAGAAGACATGGAGGAGGTAAGTGGAGCAGAGACATGTGAAGAAGCTGTGCTTGCTTCAAGGCCTTGTACTATTACCAAGGAGATAGGGGAAAGAGACCCTTGAAAGAGACAGACATGTCAGTGAGAGACCTGAGGGGAGGCTGACAATGGCCACTTTTAACTTGATTTTGCTCTTTTCCTTCTAGACTTGGCTGGCCTCTTCTGCCCTTTTTGTATGGGTCCCCACCAGAAGATGCCTTAGACTTAGATTTGCAGCAAGTTTTTGGGCCTAAACAATCCTTGTTTGGGCCAACCCTGTTAGGCTGGGCATTTACCCATGAGGGGATGGGTAACTTTGGGTGTTTAATTGGAAAGTATTTTAACTGTTCTTTTTCTCCTTTCCCCTTTTCCCCTACCTCTCTCCTCCCCTTATGTCCCCTCCTTTCCCCTCCTCTCCTCTCTTCTATATTGCACACTAATTGTATTAAAGTTCTTTTGTTGAAAGCCTTATGCACTATAGTGTGTTTTGTCTGTATGCAGTGAATGGCAGAAGCCATTTTGAGCCGCAGGTTTGGGGATCCTGGGGTGCCCCTCACCCTGCCTGCTAACAGTATTGGAGATAGAGAGATAGTGATAAACTGAAATTCAAGAAGTATTAACATATTAATAAATAAAGAAGTAAAAGGTATAGGATTTAAAGACTGACTCTGGCAAGGAATAAAGCTGATGGAGATAACCATAGTCATAGTTTGATGTTGGGCAATTATAAGCTAATTGAAATAGGGATATACAGTCAGGAACTTGTTTGGGGGAAAGCAACTTTACACATGTAGGTTTGTGAAGCTTGGAGAGTCCAAGTGGGTGCATCTAATAAATCAAAATTTAAGCAGTGAGGATCTGCAGAAATATATAGAGTAACAAGAGTAGAAGACCCAATCTGAAAAATGACCTAAATGTAAGGAATTAAAAGAAAAAATTGAGACTGGAAGTACTTTTGCCAACACAGCATTATTAAGAAACTTTTAGAGCTAGTTCTGGAAATGGAAAAATGAAAGGATTTGGAGAATATTTGGGTTTAAGCGTTGGCCCTCCTGTTTATTAACAATGTAATTTTGAGAAAGTTAACCCTTCTTACCCAACTGTAAAATGGTATTAAGGATAAATTGAAATAATAATTATCAACATTTTATATATAGTCTTGTGTATTATATTACGAGAATTAGCTAATCATAGTTATGTTTTCTTAGGACTTTTTGTATATAGGGATCCATAGGTCTTAGATTTATTGAAAAGGACAAAAAATAACTTTTACATAGTCCAGAAATCTGACTTTGAATAAAGCTTAATCAATATATTAGTACTGATGTTACACATAGTGAACAAGGAGAATGCATATAGTCTATTTATATGGTGTAAAACAAAAGGAAGCAATTTATGTGACAAATACGTAACACTATAAATGCTTACTATTCATGAGGATATATGAAATAGCTGAAAACTAAAGAAAATATTGGTTTAAGAAATCTAGTAATTTATAAAAAACTGTGTTTTCTGAAAAACCATAGATAGCACTATCACCTTGAAAACTCTGAGGTGTACACAGATTTGTATATATTTTCTCTTGCCATGGACAATGTTTCCCAGAGGCCCACAGAGTTTCTCCTGGCTACCTGCTCATGCACTTTCTCCCTGATGTGGGCGATGGTCGGGACCAATTAGTTCCTTGAGGTTTGAATTCGCATACATCATTAGGGCATCTTTTCTTTACAGTTCCAAACCCTCTAATACTTTGAATACACGAGTATTCAAACTTGTTTCATAAACATAAGTAAATCCAGCAAAAAAGCAAAATCATTCTTATCAGTAAAGCTGCCGGGTAAATGGCATTTAAATCGTTTTTATCCCCACTGATAGAGATGACTTCAGTTTGCTGCTATCTGAAAGCAGTAATAAATATTTATAAGGGGCTCTACTGAGGTGTTCAAAATATCACACTGTTCCAATAGACTACAATTTCAGCACAGAATAAAATGATCAGGATAAAAAGTAAACACAAATAAACCAGACTAGATCACTTGTACACTTTACTCCATTCTAAAAGAGATATGAGTACCATTTTCAATTTCTACTTCTGGATAGAACTTCCACATTACTAAAAATGAAACTACTTCAAAAGTGGTTAGAAGAATGTTCTGAACCCATTAGGGGTGAGACAAGAAGTTAGTTTGCTGTATTCCCATGCATTCAGGAATGGAAAACGAGGACATATTTTCATGCTTTATGCTGCAGGTTGTCTCTTATCAAACTTCTAGTTAGAAAAATAGCAGAAAGGCTTCTTTGTAAATTTAAAATCTGGTTTTAAAATTTCATAGCAGTTCCATTATTCTGTAAAGCAACATTCTAACAGGAATTGTGAAAAGGAGATCCATTGTCCAATGCTATGGTGTCATCTGCTTAGTAATGAGAAATACAGAATTGTTGAAGGAATAGAGTTAAAAGTGCTATTTCCAATGATGAGCATATTTATACGTGGATATCTTTCAATGACAATAGAAAGAGGAATTTGTCTGTTAGCCCAAGTAACATGTTCAAATGTTCATTTTATAGTTACAAAAATTTTCCCACACAACAAAAAGAATTCTGATTAGCCATTTTTTTTCTCATGACATTTTTATTACTAGAATGACTTTCCTTTTGACATTTCTACTTTGGTCAAATAAATTGAATTATTTGAAAATCTATTGTATTTGATAATAAACTGCATTCCCTTTTTCAGAAGCTCTTTTGAATTTCTACCTTGAGTGTCTTGGTAAGACAAAGGGCTGAGTGTAGCATAAAACAATAAACAATGACAACCACATCATTTTCACGAGTTTATTTTCGCAAGTGACCTCTCTTTCATCAATTCTCCTTGACCAGTGACGCTCACTTTGAATATACAGACTCTCAGCAACATTAACTTGTCTCCTCAAAATACACCACCTGTCTCTGATGCTCATCTGTCCCTTGGTGTCAACACTTCCACACTTTTGGCCTCTTATGGAACACCCTTACCTATCTGCACTGAAATCCAATTTATCTGTAATTTATCTGCACTTTGTTCTTAATTCCTTTGCAAGTGCTTCTGGTTTGCATTGAGACCTAGATCTCTGACATTTGCAAATAGATACTCTTAATTTTGCACTTTGGATTACTCTGCCCAAGATATTTTCCAATTAAAGAAAACTACCCTTTTTAAGAGCAGCTTAAAATTTCACATGAATTTCACTCAGCAACCACTACTCCCATGTGACACATACAAAAACTAGTAATTGATTCTTATCTCTAATAAAATTTGCATTGTGCAATTCTTATGCTAAATAATTAATGAATTTTCACCTAATATTTTAGTGTAGTCACATTAGCAACACAGTTTGAGGACCTGCTATTCACTGTTATGTAAGATTTAATTGACCTTATTTGGCTCATTAGCAAATTAATACTTTGTCCTTCCATATCATGGTCTCACCCTGTTGTTCTATTCTCTTCTATTTTCATACAAAACCTTAAGTTGGCTTTTGAAAGAATTACTTAATCACTTTACCAACTAAGTGAAATATGTGAGCTTCTAATTCTTCTAGTCTTTCCATGAACAATAAACAAGTGAAAATTCAAGAAGCAAAGATTGATAAAATCAGACAAGTAATAAAAAGACATTAGATGAGACATGTAACTATAAACCTGAAGATATAATGACCATATGTATGTATTTGTAAGTCTGCATGTGTGTATATACATATACACATATGATTCCAAACAATAACATTTTACATATTTAAATGTAAATTTAAGCCTCCCAAATATGGCAACTTTTATTTATTCATTTTTTTAAGATTTATTTATTTACACAAGCACTGGGGTACAGGCCAGAGGTGCGGGAGGGTGAGAGAATTCACCAGAGACGGAGCAGGGAGCAGAACAGGCAGACTGAAATACACTGCTGAGGGAAGCAGCGGGTGAGACAGGAGAGGTCTGCCCTGCCATGTGGGAATCTCCCTCGCCAGTTGGGAATCAAACCGGAGCTGCAGAGGCTGTGGACAGCTTCGCAGCGCTGCACTCAACCTGCTGCACCATCAGAGAGGCCCCAAATATGGCAACTTTTAAAAAGGTTTTTTATACTTTTTACTTATGCATCGTTAATTCTAAATAGGGAATGAAATTTGGCTTTCCCCATATTTCGAAAGAAATTTATCAAAGCATTAAGAAATACATAACATACAAAACAGAAAATAAAGATTTTAATATATTGTTATAGTCATTTTCATTAGAATATCTTCATGGCACTTGAAACTATCATTTCTTGAATTGGCTACTCCATCTATTTACATGTAGCTTTTCACCTCTCAGAGGCTAGCAATTTAAGACTAACAAAAACAATAATTTACTTGGATATTGCTTTTCCCTGAGTACAGGATTAACTAACCAAAACTAAATATAAATTAATTTTGTTGATACTTTATATTGTACTTTAATATCCCAACTTTATGAAAAACTGAAATTTTATGATACAATCCTTGAATCTGTTAAGCATTAAAAATACATTTGAAGTAAAACTGAACCTGAAATTATTATACTTCATATAATCAAGGCACATCATTTTATATATACTCAAGAAGCTCAAATTTTATTATGGACCCAAATGTCCTGTGTAAGTCTTAACTTTGTCTAAAGTCCTGGCTGGTAGTAATAAGCTTTCATTCACAAGAAATCATTCATTCACAAGAAATCATTCATGAATAAGAAAATCTTTAGTAAAATACAGTTTTATCTAAGAAAATTATCTTATTTAAGTTAAATAAATTTTAGTGTCTGAACTTAATATTTAACAATATTTGATAATTTATCACTTCTTTTAATTCATTGTTATAGTATACATATACTTTTAGTAATATCTTCTGCTTCCTTTTAGAGGGAAAATATTTCACACAGTAATTAAGTTTTTAATTGTAATTATAATTAACTCTATTAAATTGTAAACTATAATTATGTAACTTTTGCCAATTAGCTCATTAACTGATTCACCTTTAATGAAATTTACCTTTTAGGATTTCCCTTTCTTATCTATAAAAGAAGGGCACTGAACTACAAATATTAACCTTATGGCCTCTCCCAGTCCTAACACACTAAAATAAATTTATACATTTAGAGACTACCTTTTAAAATAATTTTTAAACAGCCTTAAAAATGATCTTATTACAAAATTGTGAGCTACTATACTTCATTTTGTCTAGAATCTTCTAATTTTCAATGATAAGCTTATTTTTTAAAGGCATCTTAGAATTTGTTGAAATAAGATGTTATATTTGAGTTTTAGGCAGAGGTCCCGGACATAATGGTGTGCTTTCATTTAAGCTCTGTTCCATAAGGGAATGATATTCTGATCACCAATAAAGTTGTTAAGACAGATAATTCTAACACTGATTAAAATGGACTAGTAGCAACACGATTACAGCATCACTGCTAGACCAATGGAAACAGAAGAAAAAAGTGGATTACAAATGGAAGACCAAAAGGAATTACCGACAACTGAAGGGATATCTATGGCAACAAAAGGACTGAAAATTTAGCTCAAAACCCATTAAAATTATTTTGTCTCATTTCTCAAAAAAGAACTTGAGTGACTGGTCTAATGCTTACAAGAGATGCTGGAATTTAGTAATGTTGACACTTTAAAAATATATGTCTTTACCATATGATGCTCTTATTAGAAATACGGCTTTGTGAGTTAAAATTGTGGAGCACAACCAAAACAAATGCTCAGAGAAGGCTTACTCAGATTTAATAAAATTTGAAGCAATGCTATAATCAATAAAAATATGAATTCTATGGTTAAGATGTATACTTTGAAAGTATTTCAAAGATCCAATATGATATTTTGTGTTGAGACATGCTAACGAGCACTAAACATTCTAATTTCACTTGAGAAATAAGTGGTATTAGAAATCACTTAATACTCAAGAGTCCAGTTATTTCATTTAGAGATTGGGGCTCATTCCAATCCAGTGTTTGATTAATTGATGTGCAATAGTTCGGCTTGGTGGCACAAAGAATGCCTGCTGCTTCCCTTTGATCAGAACATCCATAACCTAAAACATATCATAAATAAAATTTATTAGAATTTCAACACTGGCATACCTGAAGACTGTTTCCATACTTATACAATTCAACTAAAACGTGATGATTTTATAGTGAAAACAACAGTAGAATACACAAAATTTAGTATAGAAAGTTTTGGCTGTTTCAATGGGTTAGTGATTCAATTTAAAAATTATTTCAGAAAGGCATATCCCCTTATGAAAATAAAGTCATGAAAAAACAAATTATATGCTCCACACTTATTTTCAGAGTGAACTCAACATTTGGAACAGGTTCCATTTTGTAATATTCTGAAAAAAATCTAATTTCTTGTGCATAAAATATATTTTTTTAATGTAAAGTCAAAAAGGATTTCAGGTCTTCACTACTGTGATGTATCCATTTGTTTCTACACAAATACTCCATGTCATGCAAAACACACACAAGTAATTTATCTTTCAATATTTTACTCAGAGATGTTATTTTAAAAAGTTCTTGTGAATTTTGTTATTCTTGTATGTAAGGACATTTAAAAACTGAACAAGAACTTTCAAAAATTTTCAGTTTTTTTTTTCCCTGTATTTTGGGGAAGCTATTTGTTTTAATGCTAAAACTAAAATACTATTTAATATCTAAAAATAACAAACTTGTTTCTTATCTGTGAATCAGTATTTATCTATGGGGCCCACTAACATGTATATCTAAAGGAATGGCATTTGAAATTAGAAAATGGCATCTCAGTTAACATGGTACATATCAATTCCATTGTAATCCATGCATGATGAGAGGCCATACCCATTCATTCAACTTGCTGAAAACATGTATCCTTGCTGCATGCTCAAACCAATACAGCCAGAGAACAATCAATAGAAGAAGGAAATTAAATTGAACTTTACCTGTTCTCTGGTGAACCAGCGGGCGTCCTCTATTTCATTCTTGTCAACTTTAATTTCTGTAGACACTGCCACAGCTAAGCAACCAATCATTAAGGAGAAGGGCATTGGCCATGGTTGACAAGAGACATACTGAACATGGCCAACTTTGACTCCACTTTCCTCTTCTACTTCTCTCCGGACAGCATCTTCTATTGTCTCCCCTAATCAAATGGAGCAAAAGAACAAGTAGTTGATGAACATGCCCTGGACATTTTGTGCTCTGAATGGTTCAAACATTTGGAAATCACTTTGGACAGAAACCTAATTCAAAGGATCAGAAAGTAGGAGCCAAACACTAGATTGGAATTCAAGAAAACATTTTTTAAAGTATAAAACCACAGGCAGAATCAAAATACCAAAAAACTTTTCATTTCTTAAAGGTCCAAGTTATAGCATCTACAACTATCCAGCACCTACTACTGGCTAAACACTATAGAAACACTTTATTATCACTTAATAGTTATAAACAGCTAGTCTCTTCCTCACTAAAATCGTGATACTCTTTCCTTCCTTCTAATGTTGTCAATTACAGTAATGAAGATAACATTTTTAAAATGTTAAAAACCATATACCAAAAGTTTTAAAACACATAAGCTAAAACTCATTATTTTTCTTTCTAAATGATTATTTTCCTCTCGATGATTGTTGATTCAGCTATGATAAAACAAAGTGACACTTGTAAATGTACTCTATACTTCTTTTTAAATTTAATTAATTAATTTATTTATTTATTTTGTACTCTATATTTATTTGACAGAATGAGAGTTATAAAAAAGTTAGTTTTTAAGTTTATCTGAAAGTTTAGAAATAATTTTGTATGTAAATATAGCTTTCTATTCAAAATAGACTGACAAATTTCCTATATTAAAATTAACAACTTATGTTCATTAAAGATAGAGTGGAAAGACAGGTCACAGACATAAAATATTAGCAAGATCATCACAAAATATTGGCATACAATATATATTAAAAAAACCTCCTAAAATCATTAAGAAAAAGGGGATAAACAAAACAACAACAGGTCAAGAGTATAAACGTGTAAAATTCACAGAAAAAGAAAATTGGTTGTCAAATGCACATTTGGAAAAGATGCACTATCAGCAGGAAAATGAACATGACAACTACAATGACACACTATTTCTTATCCATCAAAATGGCACATTAAAGTCTGAAAATCCTAACTTGGTGAAGATGTGGAATAACAGAACATTTCATGTACAGCCAGAAGTAGTATAAATTGGCAGAATACTTTGGAGTGCAACTTAGTAATATCTAGAAGAGGTTAAGATGTTTATATACAACAAACTAGCAATTCTACATTCAGATAAATACCCTGGATACTCTTGTAAATGTGCAGTAGAACAGTATACAAACATTTATTGCATCATTGTTCGTAATAACAAGAACTCTGAAATTAACTGAAAGCCTTACAGCAGAATGGATTAATGAATATGAGAATATTCAAAATGGAATGCTACAAAGAAGTTAAAAACAACAACAACAAACAATGACCTAGAGCTGCTAGAGGCAGTGTAGTGGCTGAGCATGGACTTAGAGCTAAATTGTCCAGGTTTGAATTCCTGCACTATCACTTAACACCTGCTTGATCTTGGGCAACTTATTCAACCTTTCTGCCTCAGTATCCCATCTGCAGCGCTGCTGTAACAATATCTACTTTATAAGGTCATATGAGAATCATACAATTTAATAAACAGCCTTCAGATCAGGGGGTGGCACTACATGTTTACTACTCATATTATCTATTGATGCAGGTTAATATTGGAAGTTGGGATTAAACATTATAGATATATTCACTCATATGCTCCACAAATATATATTGAATCCTACCTCATATGAGACACTATTTTAATGGCTTGGGATACAGTATTGATAAGTAACTTCCCTGCCTTTATGGAACTTACTTTTTGTTATGAGCAGAATATTAGGAAATAAGTAGGGAGAGAGAGATACACATATACAAATAGCACACTAGGTGGTGCTGAGTACTGTAGGAAAAAAAAAAAAAAACATGTAGGAAAACAATGATTGTGAATGCTGGAGGGCTCACGGGGCTAAAAGTTTTTGGGGTTGGGGCAATCAGAGAAAACCTATTCAAAAGCAGACAGTTTTTGGGCCTCCCTGGTGGCACAGCAGTTGAGCGCTGGGTTGCGAAGCTGTCCGCAGCCTCTGCAGCGCCGGATCGATCCCCAGCTGCTCCCCGGCCACCGGAGGAGGGTCCCACATGGCGTGCAGACCCCTTCTGCCGCCCGCTGCTCCCCTCAGCAGTGTACTTCGGTCCTTCTGCCTGCTCTGCTCCCCACTCTGGCTCTGGTGAATTCTCTCACCCTCCCTCACTTCTGACTGTACCCAGTGCTTGTATGTATAAATAAATAAATAAATCTTAAAATAATAATAATAATATTAAAAAAAAAAAAAAGCAGACAGTTTTGAGTTGAACAGAGAAGGAAGGAAGGCATAAATCAAGCAGATACTCCAGGTAAGATCAATATATGAAAGACATGTGAAAGAACAAATGATGAACTTTTAATAGATTAAATTTTACAATATTAAAACATAAAAATTATAATTTAAAACATACAAAATATTTTAAAATATCCCAGTTTTATAATACAAAAATAATAGTATTTCTCAAAAACTGTCTAAACTTGACTTTTTTAAAAATTAAATTTGTATCCTTGTAAATTACAAGTTAAATTAAAATTATTATAAAAATTATTAAGAAAGGGCTTACCAGGTTCAATAAATCCAGCAAGGCAAGTAAACATGCCTGGGGGAAATCTTTTCTGCCTGCCTAAAAGGCATTTAGTCCCATCTGGATGAATAACTTGCATGATTACTACTGGATCTGTTAAAAATAATATCATGTGAATGAACAACAGGAAAACAAATTATACCTATTGTGTAAAATCACGGTCTATTAGGATATAAAAGGATAGAACTCTTGTTACTATCATTCAGTTATAAGAAATTATTTCTTTCTATGTTGATATAGCTGCTGATGGAGAATTTCATGGAAACTGCATAAAATATAATCAGTAATCTAAAGGTAGCAATTTTTGTCCTCTAGAATGATACTGTGAGTTTTTGGTATGCTAGGCATGTTATTTTTTAATTAAAAAAAGCTTGACTATTATAAAATTAAGCCACTATGTTGAATACCTGAATTATATAATGTTAATTACACTTCAATTAAATAAAGTTTGAGTAGATAATATACTGCATGGGGAAATGTCTAATTTTCCAAGTAAATATAATAAGTTTCCCTCTCTTTTCCATCCCAAGCTTCAACAAAGTGTTTTTAAAAGCTAATGTGGCTGTATGATTAGGCTTAAGCCATTAAGAAAAATTAAAATAAATAACAGTTCTTCCTTCTATCAAGAAGACTAATCCAGCAAATTCTCACTAGAGCATGACTGAGAACGAGAAATCAAAAGCAAAAGGCTCTGAGCAACAAAAACAGATGTCACTAGGCCATTACTTTATTCTCAGGATACCTCCTCAGGTGTTGCTGAGTCTATCTATTCTTTTTTCACACAGTTTTAAAGAGCTCAGTTATCAGATTTCCAACCTCACAGCAGACTCAAAGCAACAATTAGAGTGAAGACACAGGCAGACAACAGTGGTAATGAGAAGCTATCTCAGGCTGTCTTGCTTTGGTCAGGGCTCAAACAGGCACTGAATTGTGGGGGCTTTTTTTTTCTTTTTGTCTCTGCACTAACAGAACCAAGATTGGTGGGCTTTTGAAATCATGTATCAAATATACCAAATTTATATAGTTTTATGCAGAATTAAGAAATGACAAATAACATACAAATGTCCTTTACCTTGATGTCATGAAAGTAATACCTTAATACTTGTAGTCTTAGTGGCTAAATTACACATGCTTTTAATATTGATTAAATCCCTCAGCAACTCAATGCCTTATCTTTCCAGAAGGTCTTGCTCCCTGAGCTTCCTGGCGGCTGTGATATCACTGTAAAAGAAATGGCTTACCAACTCTTGGATAGGATGTGCTTTGAACACCCTGGAGGCTAAGGCAGGCTTCTTTTAGGCACACTCTTTTATAGCCACCTTCTTCGATTTTAGTTGCGCTTCCACAGGTTGGACAGTACTTGTATTGGCTGTGCCAGGCAAGAACAGATCTTGCTTGAGCCACAACCCCTTTAAGAGAATAATAAGTTTTAATCCTATGACAGGTGACAAATTAATATAGAAGTAAAATACTGTTATGCAAAAATAAAGACATTGAATTTCTTAATAGTAACGTGATTGGGGTTCCTATTTTTAAGATGTTTATATGTCTTTTAAAATGAAAGATTTCATTTTAAAGATGACAAATTTGATTTAACTGTAATTTGAGCTAATAAAATATACTATAAGACAGATGGACTAACATCCATCTTATACAATGTATTAACTCAGGGCTGTATTACAGGTTGTTTTTAAATTTTAGATATGCATAATTCAAATGTATAGTGTAGTGACTTTACAAACAGTGATTTTACAGTAGTGACACCTATAAAAGTACATTATAAATGCAGCTTTTCACTTAAATTTGAATTATAAAGGAAGTATCACTAGAAAACTGTAGGAATCAATCTTGCTTTCCCTGGTGACTAAGTTACTATTGTTTCATGTCACTGTGGAACATATCCTGTTTACAAGAAAGCAGAGTATGAAAATATTACATTTATAATATTTGTGATTACCTTTGCTCATTAAAAAATGCTTGCTATTAGACATCCTAGACTATATAAGAATATACAGATTTAGAATATATACTAAGATATATAACTCTGACTGTATAGTCTTTATTTTGGGACTTGAAAACATAAATTAATATAGCCTGACCAGAAGTATTACAACTGAGGCAATGAGACTAGAAATTTTACATTTCAAATGCTTGAAAAACTTGCTCTCCCTTAAATATTTTATTTGTTTGAAGAATTTTTGAAATAAACAAAAGAATCATAAACAACAATATTTTATTTATTTATTTAATATCCTAAAGAACAGGTTTATTATAAAAAGGGAGAGAAGAGTTCAGGATACTTGCACAGACACAAATGGGTAGAAAGAGCTGCCCCCTCAAGGGACAGGTTTGAGAAAACAGAAGTCTGCATAGTTAAAGGCCGACAGTCTTGGAGGAGAGCTGCCGCTGCTGCTTTGCAAAGGGAGAAGGTTGGAGAAGAGACACACCTGTGAAGTCACAGGTGGGCAGAAAAGCTGCTGCCAACAATGATATTTTAAATTAGGAAAAATGAAACTAATAATCTATTGATAAAATAAATATAACCCTAAATTACAATGAATCATGGGTAACATTAAATATTTACCTGCAACATTACCTTGTAATATACAATTTACATGAAAGTATCTACATTATGTAAGCATCATCACAATAAGGAAAATAACATTTATTGAGTATTTACTGTTTCAAGTACCATGTAGAGATGTTTGTATATTTTATATTACTTATGTTTAGAGTGACCCTAAAAAGTAGGTACTATTATTACCCTGATTGAAGGAGGAAACTGAGGCTCAGAGAGGTTATGCAATGGCATAAACTTACACGGTGAGTAAAATGGTCTTAGTTTTCTTACTAGAAAAAAATAATGGTGATCCTTTTGATCTTAAAATTATATATAGATCTCCAAGGAAAATATATTGTCTTTAAAAAGTTCAATGCTTTCACCAGATGTGGAGAATAAAGCATACCATTCTAATCTGTAGGAAGAAGTATTACGTAGTTTCTACCACATTATCTAAGAGAAAGAGATGCTGGTAAGTGACCTCCCAACTTTCTAATCTCCCAACTTTCCCATCTACCATAATCTATATAGTTTTGTTCCTTCCACCCACTAATGCTCTTGTCAAATTATTCAACAACTTCTTATTACTAAAACCAAAGATCCTGAAAAAAGGACTTTGTCATTTTACTTAAATTTTGATCATATTTCACTACAAGCTCCAAGAAAGGCTGTTCTCTTGGCTTCCAAGGAACATATTCTGTTTTCCTCCTACCTTTGGCTATACTGTCAATGTCACCTTTGTTGGCTTCCCTGTTTCTAAATGACCTCTAAATTTAGAGGGATTTAGATATGATTCTGAAGCTCTCTTCCTTCCTTGTTCTCAACTCTCTAAGTAATCTCAGTTAGCCAGAATTTAAATATCAACTTTGTGTTGATGACTCCCATATGGGTATTTCTAGTTCAGACCTCCCCTCGGCGTTCTAGGTTCTAATACCCTCCTCTAAAACTTACATGCCCGAAACCAAAATTGTTATTTACTTCAAATTTATTCTGCTTCCCTGGCTTTACCCATAATACTCAATTATTTTATCAAGAAATAGTTTCTCTGTTTTCTCCAATTTTATCTCCAAAATGTATCTTGAACAAAAACCTTTTTCTCCATCTCTTATTATCATCCCACCTCAGGACCAGGTCACTATCATTTCTCTATAACTTATAATTGTTTCAACAATATTATAAGTAACACAATTCAACACAATTATAGGTACAATGAGTTCTACCACTAGAACATCTTGAATTCTTTTCTCCCCATGCTACCAATCCAAGTCACACAAGCTCTTACCAGAACTCAATTGTCTCCAAACTCCTCTTTACAAGAGTCCAGACTGCAATACTTAATTATATACATTTCATCATCTACAAAGCATCCAGACTGAGGATCTGTGTTTTTATGCTTTTTATTTTTTTTTAACATAGGTCAAGTTACAAAATTTAAATGGAATTTTGAATTAAACCTCTAATTTCTTACCATGGCATATAAGGGTCCACATGAACTGATATACTCAGTAACAGAGAAAACAAAACTATCAGGTCTTAGCCATCATGCTCAGTATATAGCATGTGCTTAGTAAGTATTCACTGAAGAATCAACAGAAACCAGCAAGCACAAATGTTAATTCAGGGGAAACTAATCTTGGCTGATTAAAACTGCTGTAATTTCCTAGGCGAGTAGACCCCTTGTGTGAGAACTTCAGGAAGTTTCTAATGAAAAAAGCCTAATTTCACTGTTTACTGGAAAAAAGTGTGTCTCCAACAATATGCAGATACATACAACTCCAACCCAGTTCAACTTACCAGATTATTACCAATACAACGAAATGGTGTTCCGTACTCACCTGCTTCTTTTTCTTTCAACTGCAGAAGAGCTGGCATTGGAGGATGAAGAAAATAACAATTTTCATGTCTTTGCTTAAATTCATCGGCAGCAACAGAATCTATACCTAGAGCAAACCAGGCAACCAACCCATCTTCTTCATCTCTTTGGACTTCCCCAGCATGATTAAATAACTCTTTTCTTATTTCAAGTTCTACTCCAAGGAATATCAAGGTGATCTTTTCAGGGTGAGCCAAATAATCTTTTATGTCTGTGTAGTTCAGTTGACAAAGTTTGACTTCAGGCTGTTGGGAACTTTCTTTATTGCCACCTAGAGTAACCAAGGGATTTAACTCTGAGAAAAGAATATAAACTGTGGTTGGATGGCTTTCTTTAGCTTGTAGCCAGTCTGAATTAGTTCTTTTTTCACTTTTCCGGTCTAGTAGTGTCCTGCTAAAATAATTTTCACATTCTTCCACGTCACTGGTTAGAAACCAAGGTTTCTTCCCACCTTTAGCATTAGCTAGTAAGTTAGCTATATGCTTATAACCCCAAAATTTAGCAATATCTAGTGCAGTCTGCTTTGATTTATTGACAATGGATCTGTCGCACCTACAGATGGAAGGAAAAATAAGATAGGAAATAAATACTTTCTTCAGTATTTAGTAAAATAAAATATTTCCATATGCACGAGTCCCTCTATTTAATGATTAGATTTTTCTAGTACATAACTTGCTCACGCAAAGATTAAAAGAAATAATTATAAATGATGAAAAGTAGACAGTAGGATTTAAAATTTCTGGAAAACTACTTATAAAATAAAAATGCAGTATTATGTTCTATAAGGAGTCATTACAATTTCATAAGTCATTTTTGGTAGTCACAACGGGTAGGTTTACTTTTTCTCTTTGGGAGGAAAACATCAGACTCATGAATTTGCTTTGTCATCAGGTGGGAAAAATAATTCCTCAATGAAAATGAGATACAAAGATTTTAAATTATGCTACATTTTTTATATAACAAAATTGATCATTGAGTTATTTACAAGTCCAATGACATAAAACATGAAAAATTTAAAATGAAATATATAACCTAGAAACTAAACCACACACCCCTTCAGGTGATACAAACTAAAATGATTACCCTTTCTCAAGTAGAAATTGGACAACATCTGGATGTCCGTTCCTTGCAGCGAACATTAAAGCAGTCCAGCCATTTTTAGAAGTTACATTGAGAAGAGATGGAGAATGAGTGAGGATTACTGTTAGCCTGGCAATATCTCCTTCTGCAGCTGAATCATGAAGTTGAGATACTATTTCTGCATTTGGACCTTTTAGAGAAGACATTTCGTCCTTAAAAAAAGGGAAATAGAAAAAAAACTCATTTGCAATTGATTTTTGTATCAATGGTTGAACATATCTGAGTACTGACAGAATTAGAATAGGTATGTTATTTATTTATTGTATTCATTTATTTATTTATTTATTTATACACGCACTGGGTATAGTCAGAAGCACGGGAGGGTGAGATAATTCACCAGAGACAGAGCGGAGAGCAGAACAGGCAGACTGACAAAGTACACTGCTGAGGGGAGCAGCAGGTGGCAGGAGAGGTCTGTGCACCATGTGGGACCCTCACCCGGGAGCCAGGGATCGGACCAGTGCTGCAGAGGCTGCGGGCAGCTTAGCAACCCAGCGCTCAACCGTTGTGCCACTGAGGAGGCCCTAGCATAGTTATGGTTTTTAAAGCAATTCTTTAAAAGGTAATTAATATGATAATATACATAGAGAACCCCAAAAAGTCCACAGAAAAACTAATTCAACTCATCAATCAGTTCAGTAAAGTGGCAGGATACAAAATCAACACGCAAAAGTCAGTAGCCTTCCTATACACAAACAATAAATCTGAAGAAGAAATCAAAAAAACCATCCCTTTTTTTATTGAAACAAAAAAAATCAAATATTTGGGAATAAATCTAACAAAAGAGGTAAAGGACCTATACAAAGAAAACTATAAAACACTGTTAAAAGAAATAGAAGAAGACACAAAGAAATGGAAAGACATCCCCTGCTCATGGATTGGAAGAATAAACATTATTAAAATGGCCATCCTTCCAAAAGCAATATACAGATTCAATGCTATTCCAATCAAAATTTCAATGTCATTCTTCAAAGAAATAGAACAATTATTGATGAAATTCATATGGAATCACAAAAAACCCCGAATAGCCAAAGCTCTCCTGAAAAAAAAAGAAGGGAATGGAGGCATCCCACTCCCAGACTTCAAACTATACTACAAAGCCATAATCATCAAAACTGCATGGTATTGGAACAAGAACAGACATACAGACCAATGGAATCGAATAGAAAATCCAGAAATAAACCCACAGATTTATGGTCAACTAATCTTTGACAAAGGAGCAAAGACTATGCATTGGAGCAAAGAAAGTTTGTTCAATAAATGGTGCTGGGAAAACTGGGTCGCTACATGCAAAAGAATGAAGCTTGACCACTACCTCACACCATACACAAAAATCAACTCAAAATGGATTAAAGAACTAGACATAAGACTTGAAACCATAAAATATATAGAAGGAAATATAGGCGAAACACTACGTGATTTGCACATCAAAGACATCTTTACAGACACATCACCCAAAGCAGTGATAGTGAAGGCAAAGATAAACAGCTGGGACTACATCAAATTAAAGAGCTTCTGCACAGCAAAAGAGACAATAACAAAAACAAAGAGAAACCCCACCAACTGGGAGAACATTTTTGCACCCAACACTAATGATAAAGGACTGATCACAAAAATCTGCAAAGAGCTGATGAGACTCAACAACAACAAAGAAAATAATCCAGTCAAAAAATGGGCAGAAGAGCTAAAAAGAAACTTCTCAGAAGAGGAAATGCAAATGGTCAACAGGCATATGAAAAAATGTTCAACATCACTTGTCATCAGGGAAATGCAAATCAAAACTACCATGAGATACCATCTTACACCAGTGAGAATGGCACATATTAAAAAAACTAGCAACAACAAATGTTGGCGAGGGTGTGGAGAAAAAGGAACTCTTCTGCACTGTTGGTGGGAGTGCAAACTGGTCCAACCACTGTGGAGAGCTGTGTGGAGATTTCTGGACCTACTAAACATAGAGCTTCCATATGATCCAGCAATTCCACTCCTAGGTATTTACCCAAAGGACACAGAAACATCAATTCCAAAGAACACCTGCACCCCTATGTTTATAGCAGCACTGTTTACAATAACTAAGCTTTGGAAACAACCCAAATGCCCCAAAATAGATGACTGGATCAAGAAGATGTGGCACATATATACCATGGAATATTACTCAGCATTCAAAAAAGATAAACACATGCAATTTGCAGCAACATGGATGGCACTGGAAGGGATCATGCTCAGCGAAATAAGCCAAAAAGAAAAAGAAAAATACCGGATGGTCTCACTCATAGCAGGAATCTAGAAAACTTAAATAAGGGACCAGGAAAATGAATAACTTTAAGAAAGTGAAAATCAAAATCAACAAAAAACTATGAACCAGAGACACTTTTAGGGGGGTGAGGGCGGGAGGGGAGGGATTGGGGTCAGAATGGGGGGGCTGCAATTGTATGAGGAATATAAAAATAAAATTTATTATAAAAAAAAGGTAATTAATAGTCAACTCTCAGCACAATATACACTTCAAATTGTTATAATTGAGAATTTTAAATATAAATCAACATGGAGATATGTACAAAGTAATGGTAGTAGAAAGAAGGGGGTCACAGCCTTGGGAAGGAATGTCAAGTAACAGATAATAGGCATTTGAGGTAGTTCAGAGGGTTGTTAAAATGGACGAGACACAGAAGAGTGATTATAGGAAGAGTAAAGGCAGAGATTTAGCAGATGTCAAAATTCTCATCTTCTACAGTAATAAAACAGATCATTGCCCTCAGGGAAATTATGATCCTATAGTTATTCAAAAGTTGCCTAAGTTTCAAATGAAAATGATTTATTGCTTTACCCTGCACAACTATTTCAGCAACCCATCTGAGATTGATTTTTGTTCATAGTGTGAGGTAGGGGTCAAGATACACTTTTAAGATTTCTCTCATGGTGGAATATAGAGGAACAAAACAAAGGAACATACAAAACTAAGCCAAAGGAAACCTAGAAATCTGACTCTAGAATTGTGGCTAGCGGGGGAGAGGTGGGGATAGGGGAATGGGGGGTTAGGGAATAAAGAAGAAAGGGGCCCAATGGACTATGGTGGGGAATTTTGGGAGCCTTGGTGGTGGGTATGGTGTGGTAGCACACATCTGAATCATACAGTGCTATAAACCAATTATTTCCATTAAAAAATACAGTAAAAATACTTTATTGCTAAAAAAGATTTAAAGTCTTTCTTCGATTTAAACAAGATGCATTTTTACCCTAACAAATTCATAAAATTTATAACATCCTTGAAATTACCATCTTGTCACAGTATACTGTCATAAATGAGATAATCATTTATTTTGGAACTACTATGAGACATCGTTCTATTGGTCACTTTGTCTATTCTTAAATATAGAAGTTTTATCAACCATTAACTTTGTTTTGTTACTATTTCAGTAAGAAAAAAGATATAGAAAATAATTATTCCATACTTATTAGTAAATGCCTGATCCTGGAGTGAATTTGGTAGGGCACGAAGTGTGGAAATCATGTTTTAGTTGTCTATGAACTTCTCAAAGCACTTTTTCTAAGGCATGACTTTTTTTTACGACATGTTATTAAGAAAAAATTAGGGATTCTAACCAGGTTTGCACCATTTGAAGCAATATAAGATATTTAGGTTAAAAAGATTATAATCCACAGTTTTTGGCAATTATTACCTCTAGGGTTCAAACACTGCAGATTAGTTGATGATTTCTACGGTAGGAATAGTATGAACAAAATTTAGGGAAAAAATAGGTTAGAGAGATTAACTTTCTAATTGTGTTTACCTTTACTGTTTATATATTTCTTCCACTTATAAGTAGTTCAAAAGTACTCACTGGAGTGCAAACATGTGGGTAAATACTAAGATTGAAAATCTTTATAATTTAAATTAGGAGTGCGTTCTTTATTAGAAAAACAATATTTTTGATTAAAAAATATGATTACAACTTGCCTTCCCATTTTCTTCATAGTGAGATTTCTGAGTGATTTGAAAATATTTTGACTAACAAAAGTTACAACTTTACAATGCTTTATTTTGAGGTACTGTTGTAAACTAACTCGTATATGGTCTTCCTCCCTAGTCATCTTATTTCCCAAAAATCCTACCACATAGGTTCTTAAGTTTAAATAATATTTCACTATTTCATGTTTTTAAGTCTTGGCTACTTTCTCACTGTCCTCACAGTATACGTCCGATGATTGCAAGAGTCCTCCAAAAATACAGTACCATTCACTATGCTTATGCATATGGGATTCTCAACAGAAAGATGTGGAAATGAACTTTGCTCCTTTGCTTTCTCAGCAGCAAAGCCATCTACAACCAGAACCATTACTAATTCCAGAGAAGTACACAAAGTTGAAGTCCAGCTCTATTGCGTAATTTACTTTTTCATTTCTCATTGACAGGCCTTCTAGTAGGTAAGGATTTTAAAGTAGGATAAGGGGACTCAGTTAACTAAATGCTGCCCTTGCTCTGCAAGAAGAATATGGACTGTTCTGTGAGGCCACTGACGAGAGTTTTAAGTTGAAAGAGTCTTAAATATTATTCAAACCTACACCGATATGTAACAATTTTACCGGTATGTAACACTGGCACATGACTTATCCAAGGTCACATGGCTAAAGAGAGGCAGAAAGCCCTTCAAAACAGCTGTCAATGCTCACAGGGGCCATTACATCCAATTCCATTTCCCAGGGCACTCGACAAGGTCTTTTAACCAACCAAGTGCTACCCATGCACGTTCTGCAAACTGTCAAATGCGTTGAGAGTTTATTTTCTCGCTATGACTGTGCAATTCCTTCTTTCAAGCTGAACCCACCATTTGGACAGGGCTTCCTTTTTCCCACCTCAAAGACCGGGCTGGCAGTGCCCCCAGCAGCAGGCTCGCCCCTACAGCAGCAGCGCCGCCGCGACCCCGCCCCACCCTCCCAGGGCGCTCCCGCCGGGCCCAGGTCCCCGTCAGCTCCCGCGCCGAGCTGCGTCACACCGCACGGGGCAGCCTGGAGACGAACGAACACGGAGGACTGGTCACGGGCACCCTACAGGGCACTCGGGCGAACAACTCGCCGCTGCTGCTACTAACCGAACGGTGACCAGAGCAGAGGAAACCAGGTTGTAGTCGCAGAATTGAGACAACCCCACTCGCGCTTTTCCCGGCGCCGGAAGGGCCCTCCCAACTGCCGGCGGAGGGCGGGGTCCGCGCGTGGCTTCATGGGAAATGTAGTTTCACGGTCAGAGGTCGTGCATGACCCGCGGAGGCGCGAGGCTTGGGGTGAAGGCGTCTGATCACCTGGAGGAAGGGCTTGTCTGCGACGAGAGGACGGGTTTCCGTTGCGGTGTGTGAAGGGCTAGTTTTCTGTCCCCGTGAGAAATGCGTAGTGTGGGAAGCACGATGGAAAACTGCAGGTCTGGGGAAGCCTGTTAAGTTTTCCAGTATTTCAAACTTGCCCCAGCAGCCTTCTAGCTGATAAAGTCCTTTTTTGGTGCAGTGTTCAGAGCATTCTTTCACTTCATATCTGGAACATTGGTTGGACCAAATGACCCCAGGAGGTGACCTTAAAGTTGCTGGCCTGTTTTGAACTTCAGTGACCTCGTCGATGCTTTTCTCATTTAACAGTCCTTTGAAACATATGTATCAAGTGCCCCCTACACCTCCTTGGGTTGTGATGAGATTTAAAGAGGGTAAAACATGCAAAACACTTAGGGCAGTGTGAAGTCCACCGCTCATGGCCGCAACATAATTATTATTGTTGCTGTTATGTATTATTTAATTTCCTGCACTTTTATGCTCCAAAATTTACAGAAGTTGACCTTGAGATTACTGAACCAGGTGCTGTTAGTCTTCTGACTCCCCAATGAGGGACAGGAGATGAGAAATACTGTTTTAGCTAGCTCATTTGGAATACACAATCTGTATAGTCATACATAAAATAATCATATTAATCATCTAGTGTAAACTATTGTTAATATATACTTCTCCTTTAAGCCTTTTGAATTCTTTTGAAGTAAATTCCAGATTATTTTATTGATAAATACTTAAGAATAAGCTTCCTGGTATTATTAATATATATCTAAAGTATAAAGGGTTTTTAAAAAGAATATAAGTAAAATATCAGTGCAACTAGACATTTTTTTAAGATTTACTTATTTATTTATACAAGCACTGGGTACAGTCAGAAGCGCCAGAGGGTGAGAGAATTCACCAGAGCCAGAGCGGGGAACAGAACAGGCAGAATGACGAAGTCCACTGCTGAGGGGAGCAGCAGGCGTGCCAGGAGAGGTCTGTGCACCATGTGGGACCCTTGCCCGGAGGCCGGGTATCAAACTGGTGCTGCAGAGGCTGCGGGCAGCTTCGCAGCCCAGTGCGCAACCACTGCGCCACCAGGGGAGGCCGGCACCTAGACTTTTAACAATAAGTCAGTAATGTAAAAGAGGCATTTGATAACCAATTATCTCAATTTTTTATTTTATATTTCACAGTTGATTTGCTCAAATCAGATTTAAAGTTGCCACATTAAATTTGATGAATTTTAATCTATAGAGCCCCCCTCTTTTTTTTTTTTTTTTTAGTTTGTAAATGAATAAGTGATCATTTGTTCTGTGGAATTTCCCACATTTTGAATTTTTCATCTTGCAGTCTTATGCTGTCTTTCCCCCAGTGTTGTAAACTGGAGTCAAATCTATAGGATTATTCAGATTTTAGTGTGTTTTTTGGGGAGACAAGAAAAACTTCACAGGTGTTATTGCTTATTTCCTTTGCCATTACATTAAGAGGCACACACATGTGTCTTTATTGTCATGTCGTGTAATCCATTGTCATGGATTTTGGGTTCCAGTGTTGACAACCTGGTAGAGGTTTATGATAAATATCACAAACTTTCCCATGAACTTTTCAACTCATAGTTTTAGCAGCCATTGTTAATAATTACATAGGTTCATCATTTCTTTAAAACTTGCAAAAAGTTAGTATTCTAAATTGATCATTCATTCCACACTTGCTAATGCAAGTTATTTTATGATAAAGCACTTTACTTCAGTAAATATCAGTTTGTGCAGGAAGAATAGCATAAATGTGTAATTTTTCTCCTTCAGTAACTATTTTTCAGAACAATGAGTTAGTTCCCTAATATTCATCTGGTGTTTAAGTATTTTTATAAACTCATGGATGTTAAAAGTTTTTCAATATTTCATATTGAAAATGTTATTTAAAGACTATTTTTATAATATTTATTTTTTTAAAGATTTTTTATTTATTTATGCATATAAGAACTGGGGTACAGGCCAAAGGTGTGGGGCATGAGAGAATTCACCAGAGACAGAGTGTGGAACAGAACAGGCAGACTGACTGAAATACACTGCTGAGGGGAGCAGCGGGCGAGTCAGGAGAGGTCTGCTGCGCCATGTGGGTTGCTCCCTGGCTGGGGATCAAACTGATGCTGCAGTGGCTGCGGGTAGCTTCATAGGTTGCGTCTTAACCCTTGCGCCACCAAGGAGACCCCAATATTTATTATGGTGATGCTCAAATTACTGCTTCTTTGGTCAATGGGAACCCCTTAGCCGGTTCCTGAGTTCTTTTGACCAGGTCACTGTAATGCTTGAAATTCACTTCCTTCGTGGCATGACAGAATGTTGTAGACACATCTTAAAAATATTCTGTGAAGACTTGAAGTCAGTCTTGGTTGCTTTTAGTAAGAAATAGTATTTAAATAGAACAATTTTTGTGAATGGGTTACTGAGACTTCTCTGCTTGTTTTACTCTTCTGGGGAAACTGAACAGAAAAAGATCCTATGTAATAGGAGCTGACATTCCAAGGACAGTAATGGTGACAATATAAGTATCAATACCATAAAGTAATGTTTTCATTCATTTCATTACTTTCCCATTTTACTTTACGGGTTCCTTAATACCTGTAAGTAAAAGTTAGAGTTCTTTAGCTTAGCGTTTGCTGCCCTCCTTAAGATAGACCCAGTATTTTTTTAGCCATATTTTCCTAAGAATATCCTACATTAACTGTTTCTCTGATCAAGACAAACTGATTTATAATTGATGAAGGATACCGCGTGTGCTTTCTCATGTCAATAATTTTGCTCTTCAATAAGACAAGAGAAAGACATCCAAGGAATCCAAATAGGAAAAGAAGAAGTCAAACTATCACTATTGGCAGATGATATGATATTATACATAGAGAACCCCAAAAACTCCACAGAAAAACTAATTCAACTCATCAGTCAGTTCACTAAAGTGGCAGGATACAAAATCAACACGCAAAAGTCAGTAGCCTTCCTATACACAAACAATAAATCTGAAGAAGAAGAAATCAAAAAAAACCATCCCTTTTGTTATTGAAACAAAAAAAATCAAATATTTGGGAATAAATCTAACAAAAGAGGTAAAGGACCTATACAAAGAAAACTATAAAACACTGTTAAAAGAAATAGAAGAAGACACAAAGAAATGGAAAGACATCCCCTGCTCATGGATTGGAAGAATAAACATTATTAAAATGGCCATCCTTCCAAAAGCAATATACAGATTCAATGCTATTCCAATCAAAATTTCAATGTCATTCTTCAAAGAAATAGAACAATTATTGATGAAATTCATATGGAATCACAAAAAACCCCGAATAGCCAAAGCTCTCCTGAAAAAAAAAGAAGGGAATGGAGGCATCCCACTCCCAGACTTCAAACTATACTACAAAGCCATAATCATCAAAACTGCATGGTATTGGAACAAGAACAGACATACAGACCAATGGAATCGAATAGAAAATCCAGAAATAAACCCACAGATTTATGGTCAACTAATCTTTGACAAAGGAGCAAAGACTATGCATTGGAGCAAAGAAAGTTTGTTCAATAAATGGTGCTGGGAAAACTGGGTCGCTACATGCAAAAGAATGAAGCTTGACTACTACCTAACACCATACACAAAAATCAACTCAAAATGGATTAAAGAACTAGACATAAGACCTGAAACCATAAAATATATAGAAGGAAATATAGGCGAAACACTACGTGATTTGCACATCAAAGACATCTTTACAGACACATCACCCAAAGCAGTGATAGTGAAGGCAAAGATAAACAGCTGGGACTACATCAAATTAAAGAGCTTCTGCACAGCAAAAGAGACAATAACAAAAACAAAGAGAAACCCCACCAACTGGGAGAACATTTTTGCACCCAACACTAATGATAAAGGACTGATCACAAAAATCTGCAAAGAGCTGATGAGACTCAACAACAACAAAGAAAATAATCCAGTCAAAAAATGGGCAGAAGAGCTAAAAAGAAACTTCTCTGAAGAGGAAATGCAAATGGCCAACAGGCATATGAAAAAATGTTCACCATCACTTGTCATCAGGGAAATGCAAATCAAAACTACCATGAGATACCATCTTACACCAGTGAGAATGGCACATATTAAAAAAACTAGCAACAACAAATGTTGGCGAGGGTGTGGAGAAAAAGGAACTCTTCTGCACTGTTGGTGGGAGTGCAAACTGGTCCAACCACTATGGAAAGCTGTGTGGAGATTTCTGGACCTACTAAACATAGAACTTCCATATGATCCAGCAATTCCACTCCTAGGCATTTACCCAAAAGACACAGAAACATCAATTCCAAAGAGCACCTGCACCCCTATGTTTATAGCAGCACTGTTTACAATAGCTAAGCTTTGGAAACAACCCAAATGCCCAAAAATAGATGACTGGATCAAGAAGATGTGGTACATATATACCATGGAATATTACTCAGCATTCAAAAAAGATAAACACATGCAATTTGCAGCAACATGGATGGCGCTGGAAGGGATCATGCTCAACGAAATAAGCCAAAAAGAAAAAGAAAAATACCGGATGGTCTCACTCATAACAGGTATCTAGAAAACTTAAATAAGGGACCAGGAAAATGAATAACTTTAAGAAAGTGAAAATCAAAATCAACAAAAAACTATGAACCAGAGACACTTTTAGGGGGGCGGGGGTGGGAGGGGAGGGATTGGGGTCAGAATGGGGGGGCTGCAATTGTATGGGGAATATAACAATAAAATTTATTATTTAAAAAAAAATAATTTTGCTTTCCAGGATCACAGTTATCAGTATATGCTGACCCTTCTTCCAGTTGCCAGCAACTGTTCCTTACTTGAGAGATTTTTTTTTTTTTTTTTCTCACCAGAGGTTTTC